GAGCGCTGCCGCGCTTCCCAAGCGGCGCACTATCCAGTGCGCCACTGGGCCGGCCCCAAGATGCTATTTTCCAAATTAGTTTTTTTCTTCCCACCCTCCTTCAGTGTGGTTATGGTATTTATAATACAGATAGGTTCATTTATTAGTGTTTGTATTCCATCTTGGGTTCCCTAAACATCTTTTTCATGGTTTCAATCATTGCTTGGTATTTTAGCATTGTATAGGTTTTCCAAATGTACACAAATACTGAGCCAGAAGGACAGCTTTTCTGTTAGGTTTGGGAGATTTTGTGTAGGATTATTTATTTCAAAGAATTATATTTAGCCCTATGAGTCAAGTAGTGTTACACCGAAGGTCCATTGGGATATATATAGTAAAAAGCTCCACTGTAGTGACCTGATGCTTTATGTTAAAAATGGTGTTATTGTCTAGCTAAATCTACAGTGACATTCCATTTTGGTAGTTTAATTTTAATCAAAATAGAATAATTTATTGCATATATATTGTACTTCCATTGGTTGAAAAGCAATGAATTTTAATGGAAAGGTGTTTAAAAAGTGTGCCTCATAAATTTTGACATAGAACATAGGAAATGAAAATTCATTTTGTTTAATCAGAAATTAGTTTTACCTTTTAGCATTGTGATGAATGAATCTCTTAAAATAAGTACGCTGTTTTAAAGAATATAGTCCTAAAATATATGAAGGTACTTCAAAAAGTTTGTGGAAAAATAGGATTAAAGGTAATATGAATTTTTACATGAACTTTTAAATTTGCATATATTTATACTTTTTTTAAATATGGAAAAGCAAATTTAGTGCAGAATTCTCATGGAATCTGAACCATGCATTTCATTGTCAGATTCTAGTATAATTTTGTAATTATAAGTCTTTTTCCTAAACTTGACTTTCTTAGGGAAAACTTGTTATCGGACACAATATGCTCTTGGATGTCATGCACACAGTTCATCAATTCTACTGCCCCCTGCCTGCGGTAAGTAACTGGTCAGCCTGTGTTAAAAATTCACACTGCTTTTTTACTGAGTGTTCTCTACTTGCGTGCCATCTCCTTGTATGCAGCATGTTTCCACAGAGAGAATCTTACTAGTTAGGTGTACATTTTTGATGAGAGATAGATCCATTTTAAGGGATCTTCGGTTTTCTGCCACTGCCAGAGCAAGGTTAAACATTGTTTCGTTGTCTTTTTTTTTTTTCCTTTTTTTTGTCTTTTTTCGTGACCGGCAACCGATCGCAACCCTCAGTGTCG